CTGTCGGGCTGGGCCAGTGGCCTCACTGGCCAGGCTGGCAGCCCCGTCCCTGCGGAAAGCCCCGGCAGTGCAGTGGTTTGCTGCTGATAAAGCTTCCTTCAGCCAGCTCCCAGTCCAGAGTAGAGCCTTTCCCAAGTGAAATGTGCCATTGCTGTAAAAAACAAACAAACAACAACACAACCCAAAAACCAACAAACCCAAACTTCATCTGGAGTCTCCCTTAGAAAGAGCACATTAAAAATGGCAGAATTGTTGTATTTGAAGTTTTGCTTCGGGAGCCTTGCTGTGAGCACGCCAGCAGGCTGCTACCCAGTTTTGGTTTAATTTTTTAAAATTTATTTATTTATTTTTTTTTAATTCCCACCACCCCACCCCCCCGGCCCCCAGATACAAAACCTCCTCTGTAACCGTTCTGTCTGCGCTGACACGAATATAGCATTTATGTCACATGACGGAAAACCCGCTCTCAGTGGTCCCGGCGATGACACCGTGGTTCCTCAGGTGCTGCCATCTCTCCACAGAGCCCCAAGACATCCACCACCCCCCTGGTTGTCTCAGCCTAGTGGAAAGGTGAGGTGGAGGCAGCTGGCCTGGCTCCCCCAGGGGTCTGGGACCCCGTCAAGAAGCACCTCCCCTCACCCCTGTACCCCACTTCCCTGCCACCTGATTTCGGGGTGGGCTGAGGGGTGTGCTGGTGGCTGGGGAAGGGTTGCACGCAGCTTGCTCTAAAATGCAGAAGTGTGTTAATCTGGATGCCGGCTGGCTGTTCCGGTGCCTTATCTGCCTCTGCACACTGACAGCCGATTGAGGACGGGCTTGCTTGCTCTGGAGACCAGCCAGCGCAGAAGTTTGGTGTGTGCATCAAGACGTGGTTTGTTTGGTGGTTGTTTTGTTTTTTTTGGTTTTTGTTTTGTTTTGTGGTGTGTTCTTTTTTTTTTTCTTTCCAGGGGGACAGCTTGAATTTCGCTGTCCTTTTCCCTTATTTTGCTGGCTTGCTGCGCCAGGCTCCCACGCTGTCTCATCCATTATGTTTAGTCCAGCTTTTCCTTCCCCACGTGGTACCTGGAAGGGGAGAGGTCTGCAGGGGCTGAGCACTGCGTTGGTGCCCTTGCAGGAGGCAGTGAGTGGATTTGCAAACCCCATGTGATTAATTGCCACGTTTGCTGACAAATCCCCCCAGGGTGTGAGGAGGTGTTACTCCTTACACAGCAGAGAGCATTTCTGCTTTAGACATTCATGTCAGCAAAGTTCAGCTGCTGGAGCCTGAAGTGTTTGTGTAGAATATAGGAATTAAATTGAACCATTTCTCTTTTTCCTCTGAGGGCTTCCTTGATGTCGTGAGCACCTTCCCTGCCAAGCCCTGTTGTTTTTGTAAGACCTCAGGAGTGGGAAGGCTTGAGCAGTCATCTTCCTGCAAGGCCTGGAGAAGCACAGTGATCCCTGTGAAGGGTGTGCTGAGGGGTTCCTGCAGCACAGCGCCCGGTTCTGTGTGGCTTTGTGAGGGCAAGAGGAGGCCGCAGAAAGGGCTGGGCATGGCCCGACTCCTTTTGGTTCCTCTCTGCCGTCCAGCGTCGTCCCCTCCCCTTCCTCCGTGGTCTCTGACCTTGTCCTGGCAGTGGCATGTTCTCCTTTTCCTGCGGAGGGACGGAAAGCAGCTTTATGCTCAGCTGGAGAATATTTTTAGATTTAGAGAAGATGGCCTGGTGACCACAGCAGCGCGCCCTGAGTATGAAATACTCGGAAAGCCCTTTCTACAGCAGGGTGTTACTCGTCCCTGCGGCTCCTCAGCTTTGCTGGAGCTTCCGGATGGATGGCAATGGCACAGGCCTTCCCTGCCTCCGCCCCGCTGCAGCCGGGCTCCCTCGCTCCGGACCTGAAATGCATTTCATTCCTCATCAGCAGAGCCAGTGGGGGCCGCGGGCCTCCGCAGAAACATTGCCGAACGGCTCAGGAATGCGGAGCTGGAGCTGCTCCATGTGCTGGTGGAGGCGGCACGCTCTGCCGTCCCTGCCTCCCACCCTGCAGCACCAGCGTGGCTTTAGGGCTCCGCAGCCAGCCGGACCCCTGCCCTCTGACTTGCTCCTGGCCAAAATCTGATGCAGGAGCATGTTGTCCGTCGCAGTATGCTCAGGTCCCTGGTTGGGAGCAGCCCACATTGGTGGACCCCCTTCCATGGGGGGCTGGAGCTGGCAGTGCTGCTGTGGTGCAAGGGAGCCTGCCAGCAAGTTTTGTCCAGGAACATTCCCAGGCCAGGCTGAGGATGCACGTGGTGGGTAACTTTTCCCTGACAGCTGGAATAAGAGCTCTGATAGAAGAAAATCAATCTCAAAGAGAACAAGCAGATGTGGTGCATCCTGCTGCTGTTCTGGCATCCTCCCACCAATTGGGGTTTAAGGACAAGGCAGCCTGGGTCAATGCAGAGCAGAGGACTTCTTCCCCATGAGCGGGCACTAGGGGAGAGGAGGACACGTCACTGCTGCAGAGCATCTGTTGGTGCCAGCCCAGGACTGGGAATGCTGAGGAAGGCAGGGGGCAGTGGGGCAGGACGAAGGACATGGCACAGGGACCCTGAGGCGTGTGACAACCTGGGAAAGTGCTGAAAGCTGCTGCACCGTGGGTAAACCCAAAGGAAGGGGCTCTTAGAAGCCTTACAAGCAGCGTCATGCAAGTGAGGGCTTATTTACAACCTTTTGCTTTTGTTACTTCTTTCTGATTTTGCTTTGCTTTAAGGTATCACAGTTCTAATTAGATGTTGTTAAACCTGGCGTTTTGGAGCCGTGTTGAGGGATGCTTGCTCTGAAGCTGATCTACACTGTCCTTCAAGCTGATTCAGACCCAGCTTGGGGCCTGTTTCAGATGGCACAGTGCAAGCTCTCAGGTGCCTTTTCAGTGACATCTGCAGCAGCTGGTGCCTTTCCCCCCCACGCATCATCCTGTGCACAGGTTCCCCAGCCCTGAGTTTGTGCAGTAGCTGCTGCCATAGACCCTGATCTCTGAGTGATCGCTTGGTGTGAGTGGTGCTTTCCCTGGGTAACTTTTTTTAACAGGCAAGTTCAGTGCCTGGTGCCCTTATCTCTCCTCCCCTAGTGGCTTTGGCCTTTTCTGTCGGCCTGTGCTCAGGCTGCCGGCTCAGCACCATCGGCTGGCGACGTGGGGAGCCCTGATAGCCAGGCCAGAGCCCTGCCAGCTCTGGGTCAAAGCTTGGTTTTCCTCTTGTGGCTTCTTGTGTCATGGAAGGTTTAATTATTCCCCCTTCTGTCATGCTCTCCCAGCTTATCTCGCCTGCTCCCATGCACTTGCTTCCTCCTCACAGGCAGCATCTCCGCCAGTTGCCAGCTGCTGGCACTCCTGTGGGAGAGGACAATTGGCATTGGGACCTTGGGACGAGGAGACAAGTGTCCCAGCGCTGGCCAGAGACCCCAGGGTCAGCACAGGGCTGGAAAGTGGGATCCCCTCGCAGGCTTGGCAGCCCTTGCTCACCAATAGAAGCTGGGTTCCAGCTTTAAGGAAGCAGAGGTGCTGCTGGAGGAGAGGAGGAGGAAGGACCCTGCACCACTGGAGGGGTCAGCAGTCACAGCTAACCCATCCATCTCCTCTGGCAGGTGACGCAGGAGTGGGGACAGCCCAGCTGCCACCATGGTTGCCCTCTCGCTGAAGATCAGCATTGGCAATGTGGTGAAGACGATGCAGTTCGAGCCTTCCACCATGGTGTACGACGCCTGCCGGATGATCCGGGAGCGGGTGCCCGAGGCACAGATGGGACAGCGTAAGTCCACGATGGGGTTGACTGCCATGCTTAGCTCCTGACATTTCACTGATCTCCCTTTCCTCTCTAGTCCCTATCCCCATCTGGACTTTCCCAGAGTAGTGAGGAGGTGGGGGCAGCGAAGTCAAGTACTCCAGCCCAGTTGAGGTGAGGGGCCAAGCTCCTCAGGCTCCCTTCTCCACACCCCAGAAGAAATTTGTGGATCTGGGGGGTAGGAAAACATGTTTGAAAGTGAAATAATTCCTTGAGCTCTTTGAGACTGCTGCTCTTTCTGTCTCTGCTGCTCTCATCTACTTGCATCCGCCACCACTAACTAAGACTAGGTTGGTTTAAACAGTTTCAGGGGTCTTAGTGAGTGTTAATAAACCATGTAAGTCAATTTTTCCTTTCTAGGGGATATGTAGTCCTCTGTTGGGTCTTTTCCTGGCCCCCAACAACTCTCTGCCAGGCCTACAGTGATGCTCTGTTACCTTACTAAGCTTTCTCAGCTCTAATATCTCTATGGTGTTGCAAGGCTCAAGATTAGGCTTGTGGCTCATGAGCTTATGATGTGACTCACGCCCACGCAGACATGGCCTGTCCCTGGAATGGATGGTGGGGATGGAGCACTGGGTCATCATCTTGTGGGCTCTCCTGGGTCCCTGCCGCCTCTGAAGACAGCTGTGCCACAGGGGAGAGGCAGCAAACAGGAGGTCAGGAGTCGTGGGAAGAGGAGGGGAAGTGCAGCGACATCTGGGAGCAGCAAATTCCTGGAGGATGAAAGGAAATGCCTTCTCGCGTTGTGCCCAGCTGGCCAGTGGTCTGGCCGACCACAGCTTTCAGTTTAGTAGAGGGACTGGATGTTTGTGTAGATTCGAGGCTGTAACCTTGTTGCAGAGAGCATTGCATTTCCTGCTCCTGGGTGTGAGTCAGCCTGCTTTCAAAAAAAAAAAAGAAGGCAAGGGGAAGGCCTTAAAGGGAACTGCTTATTCCTGAGTTCCTTTTCAGTTGCTCACAGCCTCTCTTTAACGGCCAGTTCCCTGCAGGTTTTATTTCCCTTTGCTGTTGTTACCCCGTGGCACTTGGGGGACCCTTTAAGAGCTGCCTTTGTTTTTTGCCACCTTTGGGCTGGGTGAGCTTTGGTGTTGGTTTCCAGCTCTGCTCTTGCTCTGTCTCAGGAAGTGCCTCTCTCTACCCAAGCCAGGGATCTGGGGCAAGCTGCTCAGTTTTCAGTGCTTTAGAGTTAACCTCTTGGAATTTGCTTTAAAAAAAAACCAAACACAACTGTTTTGTTTTGGTTTTAATTTAAAAATAAAACGGCAAGGCTCTCCGTGATTTTTCTGCTCCCTGTTTGGTAGGATTGTAACAGCAGTGTCAGCCAGGCAGGAATGGGGCGGCTCAGGAATTTGTCCCTCCCCACGGAGAGCTGCCAACTAGATGACGCGTTACAAACTTAGCCAGCCAAGGCAGCCTGCGGCGCAGGGTTGTTGGGAAGGTGGAGAAGGACCTTTCCCCGGGCAAAGGCGGGCGTAGTCCTGGCCTCTTGCAGCATGAAAATGGGGCTGTCCCTGGGTTGCTGCTGCCTGAGCTCATTAGCACTTTTCACTGGGTGCCCCAGCCCTGAGGGAGCAGGATTTGGTGAACAACACTTACTCACTACTGACTCTGAGACCTTGTAAGCCTAGATCACATCCTCATTCAGCCTCCTCTCCAAATGGAGGAGTGCCAGCTTCTTTAGTCCTTCCTGCCGAGGCCCCAGCATTTGAGTTGCCTCACAGTATCTCTTGAAACTCTGCTGTGTCCTTCTGGGGAGGTGCAGACCACACCACCATGGGGTACTTAAAGTGTGGATGTGCCTACATATTATACCAGTTCCCATCACCTTTACAGGTGACCCCCAGGATTTTATAACCTTGCTTCCACCACTGCTACGCATGGTACCACAGATTTAGGAGAGCAGATAGCTACAACTCCAGGCTCTTTTGTCATGACTTTTGGTCCCAGGTTCAGCATTGCAGAGGGGTTCTTCAGATTATTTTTGTCCGTTGATTACAGTGTCTGAGCATATAGTTCAAAGCTTGCTTTCCAGCTTTCTTGCCCACTTGTTAGGTTTAGTGTTCACAGTGCTGCTGTGTTTCACATGCTGGGCTGCACTAATGCACATCCCTGGGGACAGGGTGACATCTTGGTGGCTCTGTCCTGCTCAGGATTACCCTGGCAGAGGCTGTACCTGTTTTTCAGCCAATGATTTTGGGCTGTTCCTCTCGGATGAAGACCCAAAGAAAGGGATCTGGCTGGAGGCTGGGAAGGCTCTGGACTACTACATGCTTCGCAATGGGGTAAGCATCCATCCCACATCCTTCCAGCTGATACCCACCTTAGCTCTGCAGTCAGATGTGCAGTCAGTGAGGAGATGCCTGCCCTGCTGCCTTGCATCATGCCTGGGCATACCACAATGTCCCCCTCCCCAGTTTCACCTGTGGGGAGGGGAGCTCTCAGTGTGGTGTTGGGATGTGGGCGCCTTGCACTAGTGCGGCTGCTGGGAACTGTGCTCCACTGTGCCCACAGGACACCATGGAGTACAAGAAGAAGCAGAGGCCCCTGAAGATCCGTATGCTGGATGGGACAGTGAAAACGGTGATGGTGGATGACTCCAAAACCGTAACAGACATGCTCATGACAATCTGTGCCAGGATCGGTGAGAGGACTGGGGGGGAAGGACGGGAGGTGGGGAGAGGTAGCAGGAGCAGGTGGAGGGTACCCAGGGAGTGGCAGCATCTCAGTGGTGGATGGCCTGGCAGCAGGGATGGCCAGGAGGTGCATGATGCTGGGGAGGGGACACTGCATTGCTTCAGGCTCTGTATTTGGCAGCAATGTGCTGAGCTTGGTCCTCTGCACTCCTGCAGGCATCACCAACTACGATGAGTACTCACTTGTTCGGGAGATTATGGAAGAGAAGAAGGAGGAGGTTACTGGCACCCTCAAGAAGGACAAAACCTTGCTGCGAGATGAGAAGAAGATGGAGAAGCTCAAACAGAAGCTACACACAGATGATGAGTGTAGGTGCTGGGGACAGGATCAGCCCATGCTGAGGGGAGCAGGGAGGGGAGCAGGCTCCCCTGCGAGGGGAAAAGCTGACACGGGGGCATTATGACAAGGAGATAGGTGTCCATGCTCTGGAGTCTTTCCTTCTGCCTGGAGGCCCAGGACAGAGGAGTGAGAGCTGGGATGCTCCAAGTGGACATCTGTTTCTCATTCCCTGTGAGCAGCTGCAGGGCTGGGACCAGCCCAGCCTGGATCCCTGCTCATTCCCTGGCATTGCCCACAGTGAATTGGCTGGACCACGGCCGGACCCTGCGCGAACAAGGCATCGATGACAACGAGACGCTGCTGCTGCGGCGCAAGTTCTTCTACTCTGACCAGAACGTGGATTCACGAGATCCTGTGCAGCTCAACCTGCTCTACGTGCAGGTACAGCTCCCCATAGTACCTGGCTCTGCTGCCCTGTGTCAGACCTCTGAAAGGGCTGGTGGCTGAGGTTTTGGCCAGGAGCCACCATGGGGGGTACTTCAGGATGATCAGTTATCTGCTGGGTAATAGCCAACACTGGCAGTCCTGCCCTTCTGTGTGTACCACGGAGCTCCTCAGGGGATCCCATGTCTCCTCTGCCTGGTAGGAGCCATCCTGCGGCTGTTCCTCTCACAGGCATGGTGATGGTCCCTGTAGGGGACAGCCTACCCATAAATCCTTCTCTTTTTCATGACCACTTCTTTCCTGTCTCGAAAACAGGTTCTACCCAGTGTGACAGGGAGCAGTGTCAGGGCTGCTTGGCTGTCCAGGCCATAGTAGTGTCTTCTCTTCCCACACAGGCTCGTGATGACATCCTTAATGGTTCCCACCCTGTCTCCTTTGACAAAGCCTGCGAGTTTGCTGGCTACCAGTGCCAGATCCAGTTCGGGCCACACAATGAACAGAAGCACAAGCAGGGTTTTCTGGAGTGAGTGTCCTGAGGAGCCCCAGGTGGCTTGAGCAGCTTGACGGCCCCCAGCACTGCACTGGCATATAGGGCTTGGGGGTGTGGATGTCTCTGGAGCAACCCCTCCTGGCTGCTGCACAGTGCCTGAGAGTGGCAGTCCATGCTAGAATGCGGAGAGTGCCAGCCCCCCAACGGTCCCCAGGGAGTGGCAGCATCTCAGTGGTGGATGGCCTGGCAGCAGGGATGGCCAGGAGGTGCATGATGCTGGGGAGGGGACACTGCATTGCTTCAGGCTCTGTATTTGGCAGCAATGTGCTGAGCTTGGTCCTCTGCACTCCTGCAGGCATCACCAACTACGATGAGTACTCACTTGTTCGGGAGATTATGGAAGAGAAGAAGGAGGAGGTTACTGGCACCCTCAAGAAGGACAAAACCTTGCTGCGAGATGAGAAGAAGATGGAGAAGCTCAAACAGAAGCTACACACAGATGATGAGTGTAGGTGCTGGGGACAGGATCAGCCCATGCTGAGGGGAGCAGGGAGGGGAGCAGGCTCCCCTGCGAGGGGAAAAGCTGACACGGGGGCATTATGACAAGGAGATAGGTGTCCATGCTCTGGAGTCTTTCCTTCTGCCTGGAGGCCCAGGACAGAGGAGTGAGAGCTGGGATGCTCCAAGTGGACATCTGTTTCTCATTCCCTGTGAGCAGCTGCAGGGCTGGGACCAGCCCAGCCTGGATCCCTGCTCATTCCCTGGCATTGCCCACAGTGAATTGGCTGGACCACGGCCGGACCCTGCGCGAACAAGGCATCGATGACAACGAGACGCTGCTGCTGCGGCGCAAGTTCTTCTACTCTGACCAGAACGTGGATTCACGAGATCCTGTGCAGCTCAACCTGCTCTACGTGCAGGTACAGCTCCCCATAGTACCTGGCTCTGCTGCCCTGTGTCAGACCTCTGAAAGGGCTGGTGGCTGAGGTTTTGGCCAGGAGCCACCATGGGGGGTACTTCAGGATGATCAGTTATCTGCTGGGTAATAGCCAACACTGGCAGTCCTGCCCTTCTGTGTGTACCACGGAGCTCCTCAGGGGATCCCATGTCTCCTCTGCCTGGTAGGAGCCATCCTGCGGCTGTTCCTCTCACAGGCATGGTGATGGTCCCTGTAGGGGACAGCCTACCCATAAATCCTTCTCTTTTTCATGACCACTTCTTTCCTGTCTCGAAAACAGGTTCTACCCAGTGTGACAGGGAGCAGTGTCAGGGCTGCTTGGCTGTCCAGGCCATAGTAGTGTCTTCTCTTCCCACACAGGCTCGTGATGACATCCTTAATGGTTCCCACCCTGTCTCCTTTGACAAAGCCTGCGAGTTTGCTGGCTACCAGTGCCAGATCCAGTTCGGGCCACACAATGAACAGAAGCACAAGCAGGGTTTTCTGGAGTGAGTGTCCTGAGGAGCCCCAGGTGGCTTGAGCAGCTTGACGGCCCCCAGCACTGCACTGGCATATAGGGCTTGGGGGTGTGGATGTCTCTGGAGCAACCCCTCCTGGCTGCTGCACAGTGCCTGAGAGTGGCAGTCCATGCTAGAATGCGGAGAGTGCCAGCCCCCCAACCTGCTCCCTCTGGCACCCCCTAGGACTTGCATCCAGCTCTGATGGGGGAGGGACCTCAGCCCACCATGTGGTTTCGCCTCATGCCACGTACATCCTCAGCACCTCCACCCTACTCTTAAGCAGAGCAGCTTCTGGGGCTGCTTCCATTCGTCCTCTCCCACATCCTTTCTTCTCCCAAAAACTTGCAGGGGTTTGTCCAGGGCTCTGGGTTGGGTCTCTTTGTAGTTGAAGACAAACACTGCTAACTGATGGCTTTGGCTTGTCTCTTGGCAGACTGAAGGATTTCCTGCCCAAGGAGTATATCAAGCAGAAAGGGGAGCGCAAAATCTTCATGGTACGTGTATGGGGGAGAGTGTAGAGACCCGGGCTTCTTTTTGTCCCTCACCAAATGCTGAGGCTGCTCTGGTCTTGGGAGGCAACATGTGGCAGCTTGGTGAGTGAGAAACAGAAGCAGGAAGCTGTAGGTGGGCAGAGAAGGCAGCTCCTGAGGTCCTCGAGGTCAGAGGAATACTGTAGGAGGGGCAGGAGATGCTGATGGGGTGTGGGCAGCCTGGAAAGGCTGTCACAGGGCAATGGTGGTACAAACAGAGGACCACAATGCTACCATGATGTTCTCTTTGCCATTGCAGGCCCACAAGAACTGTGGGAACATGAGCGAGATTGAGGCCAAAGTTCGCTATGTGAAACTTGCCCGTTCCCTCAAGACCTATGGGGTCTCCTTCTTCCTGGTCAAGGTAAAGCAGCAGTGCCCATGGCCAAAATTCCCTTTCTCCAGCCTATCTCCATGTGTTGTATCTCCATGCAGCTGCTGCCCCTTAGTCCATATTTCTCCAGTTTTCCCTGTGTCCCCATTGTCTACCTCTCCTTCTTGGTTTTCCATGTGCACTGCCTTCCCATCTCCAATCCTTTAGAAGCCCCATATCATAGTTGTCATCAGCTGAAAGTGTGACCTTGGGTGTGTTTGGTAGCCAAAGGAGACTTTAAAGGTCTCTACCTGGATGGCCCATCTCGGCGGGCAGCCTACCATCCTTCCATTGCAGGAGAAGATGAAGGGGAAGAACAAGCTGGTGCCGCGGCTGCTGGGGATCACCAAGGAGTGTGTGATGCGTGTGGATGAGAAGACCAAAGAAGTGATTCAGGAGTGGAGTCTGACCAACATCAAGCGTTGGGCAGCCTCACCTAAGAGTTTCACCCTGGTAGGGACCAGTCCTGGTTATAAAATCATTGAATTGTTTTGTTTGGAGAAGACCTTTAAGGTCATCAAGTCCAACTGTAAACCCAGCACTGCCAAGTCTGCCCCTAAACCTTATCCCTAAGCATAAGGTCCTTCAACCCCTTTCCCCAGTGGTGCCCCCGTGGGGGGCTGCTCTCATGCCAGCCCTTCTTTTGGGTATTGCCCTATGGTGGGACAGCCATGCCCTTCTCTGGCACCTGCTCCTGCTCTTGTCTGGGAGGCTGGCGCTTGGGTGCTTAGCACATACCAGAGGGGCTCAGGATGGCCGCCAGTGCCCTGCTCCGGTGCTACCCTGTGCCGTGCCATTCCAGGATTTTGGAGATTACCAGGATGGTTACTACTCTGTGCAGACGACAGAGGGGGAGCAGATTGCACAGCTGATTGCTGGCTACATTGACATCATCCTCAAAAAGGTGAGAGTGTGCTGGGAAGGGTGGCTGGGTGCTGAAAACCAGCTCCTATCTGGAGGGGGTCGCAGGGTGTCCCTTCCAGCTGCCTCCAAGCACCACACGCTGCTGCTGGGGGGACCCTGTGGCCTGGCACTGTGTCTGGGCTGCAGGAGGAGGGGAAGGTTGGGGGGTGTGAGCTGGCTGTCACATTTTTTTCTCTTTCTCTCTGCAGAAAAAGAGCAAAGACCACTTTGGATTGGAGGGGGATGAGGAGTCCACCATGCTGGAAGACGCGGTGTCTCCAAAGAAGTAAGTCCTCAAGGAGTAGTTTAGTTGCCAACCAGAAGTTGAATGGAGAGCAGGCTCCAGCTGAGTTTGCAGCACAACATGTCTGGAGGAGGAGCAGCTGCCAGTCCTTTGGCTCCTGCAGAGCCTGGTGCCAGGGCTGTGGGCACCCATTGACCTGCCGTTTCTCCCCATTTCAGGCCGACAATCTTGCAGCAGCAGTTTAACTGTGTGGGCAAGGCAGAGCTGGGCTCGGTGGCCCTGCCAGCCATCATGCGCACGGGGGCTGGAGGGCCTGAAAACTTCCAGGTGGGCACGATGCCTCAGCCCCAGCTGCAAGTCACCAGTGGCCAGATGCACCGAGGGCACATGCCTCCCCTGGTAAGCTCTCCTTGTGCCCACCATAGGATGCAAACTCTGAAGGGTGCCCATCGGGCTCTTGCAGACCAATCCATTTGGGTCTGTGGCCAGGTGTTCTCCCCCCAGCCAGCTGCTGCAGCCTTTCCCTCAAGCTGTGCTGCCCTGAACTGCTGTGCCTGGCCAGCTCCACCAGTGCTGAGGTTTGCAGCAGAACCCTGTGACTGGCTTTGGTGCATGCCACGTCCTCTACAGCTGGAGAAGTGCTTGGAAAAGGCCATGGGGAAGCTGTTTTCTTTGGCCTCACTCAACGAACGAGCTGTGGGGCTTGCTGTAAAAGCCTTGTGGGGTCCCGCTTCATCTGCTCCCCTCTCCCCAAGAGCTGGTTAACTGTGAGACACACTTGCACCCATAGTGGGATGGGGCATTTCCCAGTGGTAGGTGCAGAGAGGAGACCCTCTCTTATTGCTAAGTGCACCCCACTTTATGGAGGTGCTTGTGATCAACAGTATGTTATACTGCATGCAGCAGGACACATGAACTGAATCTTTAATCTCCCAGCATACCTCAGTCTGTCTCTGTGTTGCAGACTTCAGCCCAGCAAGCCCTGACTGGCACCATCAACTCGAGCATGCAGGCTGTGCATGCAGCCCAGGCCACACTGGATGACTTCGAGACCTTGCCACCCCTGGGACAGGATGCTGTGAGTGCCAAGGAAGAAGGGGATGCTGGGGGGGACCTCACTGGAGGTGGCTGGCTGGGCTGGGTGGGGTTGGCTGTGCTCCAAGGAGAGGTTTCAGAAGGTTCTGGGGAGGTCTGCTGCCTGTAATGAGATGAGGTTTTATCCAGCTCTTGAGGCAGGAGCAGAGAGGATTCTTGGTCGTGTTGCTTAGTCAGGATGGGCTGGGGATTTTTGGGTGGTCACAGCAATTCCTTCTTCCTATGTCCTCTTTCCTGCATCTGTGTGAGCATGGATGCAGCTCCACACCATCCCCACCACCTTCTGACTCCGTTCTCCCCATTTCAGGCATCCAAAGCTTGGCGCAAAAACAAGATGGACGAGTCAAAGCATGAGATCCACTCCCAAGTGGATGCTATCACTGCTGGCACAGCCTCAGTGGTCAACCTCACTGCAGGTACATGGAGAGCTGGAGTAGAAAGATTCCCCATCTCTGGAGAAGGCTTGGTCTCCCCTGTTTTGCTGAAGGTCATATCTCCTGCTGTCCATCAGGAGAAGCCAGCATATCCCAGCTAGAGCGAAATGGGCCTCCACTGCTGCTAATGTGCCTGTAGAGCCAGCTGTGCGCTCACAGTTTGCCCTGCCTTTACATGCCCCGGGATCCCTGCCTGTGCCCAGCCTAGCTTAGTCCTTCCTCCCAGTCCTTGGCTGACCTGCCATCCTCTGTACCAGAAGCATGTCTGGTCCCTGCTGTAGCTCTGAGCCTGGCCATGGCACAGTGCAGCATTCCTTACCCAGTCTCTCCTGCCCAAACTCAGCTGATGCAACCAACTTTCAGTCTTAGGAGCCGGGGGGGTCTTTTCCCACCCAGGACCACATCAGTGACAGGTGCAGGGATGCTCTTTGAGCATCGCTTGAAACATGTTCCATCCCAGCTCATCTTCTCCCTGTGCAGGGGATCCAGCAGACACAGACTACACCGCCGTGGGCTGTGCTGTCACCACCATCTCTTCCAACCTGACGGAGATGTCCAAGGGTGTCAAACTCCTGGCTGCACTGATGGAGGATGAGGGAGGGAACGGGCGGCAGCTTCTGCAGGCAGCCAAGAACCTGGCAAGCGCCGTCTCGGACCTGCTGAAAACAGCACAGCCTGCCAGCGCTGAGGTGGGTGGCTGGAGAGGCCGTGGGGCTGAGAGGAGGGGGGAAGCCGTGGGGAAGCCATCACGTGAGTTTTTAGGACTCACTCAAGAGCTCAGTGTTGCTTTTGCCTCGTTCCTTGCAGCCTCGCCAGAATCTCCTGCAGGCTGCTGGCCTCGTGGGCCAGACCAGTGGGGAGCTGCTGCAGCAGATCGGGGAGAGTGACACCGACCCGCGGTTCCAGGTGAGTGCATCTGGCGGTACCCAGGGACA